CTATCAAGTCAACTTGATACAACGAGGGGTGGACATCGATGGGACTGTGACTCATGCGGCATGGAAGAAGAAGATATTCAACACATCTTTAGGTTTTGCTCTTTTACGAGGTATGCTTGGAAGAATTGCGCTTTGCATATCAGCTCTAAAATTGATGAATCTACTCCTTTGAGACACTGAATTCAGCAACATATCCTGCTTTTTCATAGCGAGGATGGGAAACAAAGTGATCGGGTACATATTTTTAAAGAGTATTGTAGAGTCTTTAGTTAACAAAGGAATGGGAGAGTCTTTAGAAATGAAAGGGGTTATCTTTACTACAGACATTTCAATCTCAATGAATAGTCTTGAATCTTTCCTCAAACCAAATATACGATCTAAAGGGGTCTTACGCAATTTGGATAGTAGGGGGGAGCAGCCGCAGGATTTAGCAGAAGGATCTCCCTCATAGCCCTCTAGAAGGAAATATTTGAGGTGATTATTATGCTGGATGGGTCTTGGAAGAAAAATACGGGGCACACAAGTTTTGGATGAGCATATTCATCTGATGTTGTCAACTTCTTGGATGGAGGAGGAGAGTTTGGTATGGCTCTTTCGGCTTTACATGCGGAATTGTTAGCTTGCTTAAAAGCTACCAACTGGGCACGCTTAAAAGGTTATCAACGCATTACAATTTTCACAGACTCTATAGCTCTCATCCATCTTTTGCGTTGTCCTAATTGTAGGGAGGTGAGACTACTTTGGACTATTGGGGAATTATTGAAGGAAGGAGGACTCTTTGATATGTGCACTATTTGGAAAGTAAGTAGGGACCAACTAACAAAAGTGCATAATATTGTGGGTTGGTGTAGAAGCAATTTATTTAGCTTTTCGTTTAGTTGCTTTTGTCAAAAAAAAAAAAAAAAAAAAAAAAAGTTCAAACCTACCAGGAATAGAATTTTTTTTTAAAGCTTGTCAATGTCAAACAATTGTCCATAGTAAAGGTTACTAGTATTAAGTTACCAAACAAGAGTTAAGATATGTCAAAACATTTTATGTAATGCATCATATCAAAGAAATCACACAGCAATGGATGATGTTAATTGTTAAATATATATCTTCTCCACATCTAGTTTCTTTTCCACGTCATTTAAAAGACACTTTTACCTTTTTTGAAAAAAAAAAAAAAAAAAAAAAAAAAAAAAAAAAAAAAACTATTTAAGGCATCCATCTAAAACATAACAAAGCACATATGAAACTATGGATAAAAAGATATACCTGATAGATTATGGTTAGAGGGAGCTTGTGTTTCAAAACCTCACTGCAACACAAGCAAGCAGCAAATTCAATCTTAGTGTTAAGTTAAATAAGCCAAAAAAAAGTGAATATGTTAAAGTAATTTGTGCCACGTGAAAGTTACACATGTATTCTCAAAGTAAAAAAAAAAAAAAAAAAAAAGGCAATGTTACTTCTACCAATTTTAAAAATATACTTGCAAGTTACATGGGTATTACCAAAGTGATTGTAACACTTACTCCATTTTTTTTTTTAATAACTACCTCTATTTCATATTATTTGCAATGTTTAGACATTTTTCCCCTTTACTTTATGTCAAATCGATGCAAATAATATGAAATGGAGGTAGTAGCAAATTTCTATGTATGGAAGTTTCTTGTTTATAGCAACGCCTTTTTTTCGCATATGAACTCTCACTACACATTTAAATCTCTCCTTATCACATGAGCTCCTTAAAGTTAGCCCTTACATTCTACTAGGTACAATATTGAAGAAGAAGGCAGTTAATAAAGAAAGCACCAACTTTTCTAGAATTCAAAGTATAAAGAAACATTCTCTCTCTAAAAAGAGAGCTTCTCTCTCTAGAATACTAGAGCCTCATCCCCAAAACCCCAACTTTTTCCACCGCCTTCCACCATCTTCCACTGTTTTTCAACTCTTCCATGACTTCACAAACCTCAAATTTTAATTACAAAAGCTAGGATCAGATTAAAGTTCACAAAAAACCACTTTAGTTCTTCAATTCCATGTTCTTTTCGATGATCCTCCTTCAAAATCATAACCCCTTTTTTATTTTCCCCTGTTTTGTTTAAGATTGCAGTTAATAAATTCGCTCATTCGAGCCGGCGACGCTCATCAACAAGCTATAATCCCTGTTTCCGCAATCATCTTGTACTGGGCAAGTTCATAGACTACAGAAATTTCTCCGAGACTCGAATCCAAAAGTGGGTTTCCAGAGGATTACCTTTGGGGAAATTAAAGTCCAGAAATTCAATAGTATTTTCTTGTTTCTTTGTGAGGACGTTCGTGATCGAGAAGCTATGCTACAACAAGGTTCCGCGGCGTACCAAGCGGCTCTCTTGGTCTTTACTCCGACTCAGGGTAAGTCAATCAGAGATGAGAAATTTGACGAGGTTGCTATTTGGGTTCATCTTGATGAAGTTCCTTTGAACTTATGTGAGATTAATGTCGTTAATTCAATACTTACTATGGCTGGAAAGATTTTGTGTTCCGATGAACCTGATTCTGGATCAATTAGATGTGTGGTTAGAGTAAAACTTCACTTTCATGTTTTGGAACCATTATTTTCTGGATTTTACTTGGACCTTGGACATTCTGGGTTTAAATGGATTAATTTCAGATATGAGAATATGTTTATTTTGTGCTCTAACTGCAATAGAGTTGGCCATAAGAAGAATGCTTGCCCTTTGAATCATTATAGCCCTGCTCCTTTTGTTGTTGATAAGAATGGTTGTGTAAGCCTGCTATTTTACATTCCCATAATCTCTCTAATTCAAATATTGGCCCGAAAAGAATTTAAAAAAAATAGAACCATAGTGAATCTTAAGAACTTTTCTAAAAACATTTACCCACCCTAACCCCAGAGTAGTCAACCCCTCAAAAGACCTCGTGAGTTTACTACTCTATCTTTCTCACCCGTGAAAAAAAGGAAATCACAATTAGAAACAACAAACACATTGACCTTACTCCAAATGAATCATGCCAAACACCAAACCAACCTAAACTCTCAACCCACAAGCATCCCTTACACGATCCAGGAAAAAAATAACTTTGCTATGACTCTTATCAACCATCACCCACCAATACTACTACCCAACCTACCAACCTGCTCACTCTCCTCGACCCTCGAGGGTCAAAAAGAGATTCTACCCGCTTAAACGGCCAAATTTATTTAGTACTTTGTCAGTTCCAATGAAAAAGGCAGCACGATGCTCTTTGCCGTTACAGAGGATGGAATCAATGTGTTATAAGAAGGGATCGGCTTCAAGATCCTTTATGGATTTTCTGTTCTGCTTTCGGGAAAAAGGTTCGGAGATTGTTGCTACTAGTAGTTTATCCTGCCTCCCGTTTAAGAAGCATAAAGGAATTGGTACTTCTTTTTCACAACAGGTGTCTCATTTTGGTTCTTTTTCTGAGGGTTCGGTGGCCGCCCGTTCAAGGCCACCAGGTAATAGATGAAGATTATGGCGTGGAACTGTAGGGGTTTGGGTCAGGCGGACTCCCCTAAAGTTCCTTCCATTGCGTCCTTATTCCGCTCTTGTGGTGTAGATGTTATTGGCTGAAACTATGGTGTCTGTAAATTCTGTAATGCATAAATTATCTTCCTTGTCATGTTCAGGTTTTGTAGGTATGGATTCGGTGGGTCTTAGTGGTGGGATTTGTGTGTTGTGGTTTTGCCCCAGTTTTGATTGACCCTCTCTTGGTTTCTTCGCATATAATATTGTGTCGAGTCGTGGAGAACTGTCCTTTTTTCTGTATGGTGCGCCTCAAGTTTCTGATCGTATGAATGTGTGGTCGGAAATTTCTGATAATTTAGCCTCTTACCCGAATGTTGTGTTAGTTGGCGATTTTAATCAGGTTGAATATTTTATCAGATAAGGCCAGAGGTAATCTGGATATTCCTGGCCGTCATGATTTTATACAGTGGAAATTGGATAATGGGTTACTTGATCTTCCGTTTTCTGGACCATCTTTTTACTTGGACTAATGGGAGAACAGTTATGGACCCCACTTTTGAGAGATTAGATAAGGCATATGCTACTTCCCATTGGCTTCAGAATTGGCCGGCTACCTCTGTTCATCATCAGCCCATTTTGTTTTCTAATCATGCGGCAATTATTTTAAGTGACTCTTTGCCTTCTGATAGATACAAACGTCCTTATAGAATTAAAAACTGGTGCCTACACTCTGAGGATGTTGTTAATATGGTTCGGACTACTTTTGCTGAACATATCCCTGGGTCTCTTATGTTTTCCTTATCAAAAAGACTTTGTGTTCTTCGTCATCGTCTACTAGCTTGGTGTGTTTCTCATAAAAAGGCGTGGGGCATTGATTGGAAAGCTTTGGTTGCCGATGTCACTAATGCTTCTTTTAATCTTGATTCACGAAATAGTCGTTGTTTGTTTAGTACGTTTAGGAAGGAAAGAATAAAGAAGGCTGAAGCGGCATTTCTTTTTTGGAGACAACGAGCAAAAGTGAAGTGGGATGCGTTTGGTGATGAGCATTCTAAGTTGTTTTTTTCTGTAGTTCAGGCCCGGCATCGGAAGAACACTATTATGGGGCTTAAGGACAATGAAGGTTCCCGGGTTTCGGATGCGGGGGATATTCGTTCTTTGGTTCTCAGTTTTTACAAGTCCTTATACAATAGGAATTTGGATCGACCTTTTGAATTACCTTGGGATTCCCTTCAGCTCCCTTCTTTGTCTGATAGGCATCGTCAGTCCATGCTAACCCCCTTTTCAGCAGGCGAAGTCTCCTGATGGTTATACTTCAGCCTTTTTTAAGACCTATTGGAGTGAGGTGGGTGATCAGGAAGTGAATGCTGTCCAGTTCTTTTTTGCTCATGGTTATTTGCTTAAGGATTGGAATCGGACATTCTTAGTTTTGCTTCCTAAGGTAGATCACCCTGAACTTGTTTCTCAATTTAGACCAATAGGACTCTGTAATGTTCTTTATAAATGCATAGCTAAGTGTCTTGCTCGTCGTCTACGTTGGATACTTCCAGACATAGTTTCAGATTTTCAGAATGCCTTTTGTTCCGGGTGGTTAATGTCTGATAATTGCCCGATGGTGCACGAGATTCTTTCATTTATGAATGCTTCCAAAGCCAGGAAACGTTTTTATACGGCCCTAAAGCTAGACATGAATAAAGCTTATGACAGAGTTGAGTGGGACTTTCTGTGTAGGGTTCTTCAGGTTTTTGGGTTTCCTCCCTACTGGATTCATCTGATTATGCAGTGTGTATCTACAGTGTCATACCAGGTATTGGTTAATGGGTCACCTACAGAGGGTTTTCGTCCTCAGCGTGGTCTACGTCAAGGAGATCCGCTATCTCCACACCTGTTTGTTTTGTGCATGGAGGTTCTTTCGGCTATGTTGCGTAAGGCAGAATCGGAAGATCTTTTTCAGGGTATTAAAATTGCTAGGGGGCTTCTACCATTTCACACTTGTTCTTTGCGGATGACTCTTTGCTATTTTTCTAGGTTTCTCCTCCTGTGAACAAGTGTTGAATGTGCTTTCTGCTTTTTATGATATTTCAGGTCAAATGCTTAATTTGCAAAAGTCATTTGTCAAGTTTAGTCCTAATACTCCTGAGGATTACCGAGCTTATCTGGTTGTTTAAAGATGCGATCTGAATCTAGATTGGGTTCATATTTGGGGCTTCCTGTTGATTTAGGTCGTAGTAAATGCTCTGAGTTTTGGTTCCTCTTGGATAAGGTGGCCAAACGTCTACAGGCCTTTACAGCTCTCCGGCTTTCGCCGGCGGCTAAGCTTGTTATTATTAACTCAGTGCTCATTGCCTCCTTTAATCACATCCTGTTTGTTTTCAAAATTCCTGAATCTATATGTTCCAGAATGGATAATTTGTTAGCCAGGTGGAAATCTTCTTCTTCTAATCGAGGATTGGCTCTTCGGTCATCGTCGTTGCTCCATCTTCCGAAGGGTTTAGGGGGATTAGGAATTCGTAGTATTTCCCCTTTTAACTCTTCCCTTGGCGAAGCAAAGTTGGCGACTTATTCACTGCCCTCAGTTGTTGGTTTCTCGGCTTCTGTCGTCTGCGAAGTATCCAACTCTTTGTTCTACTAACTCCTTCTCGACTTCTCGTCCCTCCTGGGGTTGTAGGGGTCTTATTTCGAGGATGTCCTTGGTGTCGAAGGGTTTGTGTTGGAAGGTTGGTTCAGGTTCTCGAGTTCGTATTTTAGAGGATTCTTGGGTTCCGGGGGGACCAATTCATTTTAAGAATCTTTCGTCCAAGTCGGTTCGACCGACTCTTGTTTCTTCTTTACTTGATCCGCGTTCTTGCGCGTGGGATGCTACTATTATTCACGGGTTGTTTGATTCTAGTTCTGCTGCTAGAATTCTTTCTTTGGATCGACCTATGCGTTTAATGGATGATTTTGTTTACTGGAAGTTTACTAGGGATGGAGTTTTTACAACCAATTCTTCCTCGTTGGAAAATATTTGGTTGTAAATTGCTGCACGACGCTCTTCCTTTAGCGACTACTTTCAATTCTCGAGGCCTCCCTGTTGATCCAGTTTGTGCATTTTGTCATGCGGATGTGGAATCTGTATCTCATACATTCAGGATTGTCCTGCTATCTGTAGTCTTTGGTTATCTAGGGCGTTGGGAATCCAATGGGATCTTATGCACTTTCCTTCGTTTAGTATTTTGTTCTCAGGTACAATTTCTCTTTTTTCGTCATCAAGAAATTGGAAGGGCATTGCTTCTCGTAATCACTTGAGGTTTAGGAATGCTGTTTGGTTGCCTGGGTCAATTGTTGGTTTGGCGTCAGATTGGGTTATTCGTAATATGCAGGCTCTAGATTGGAAGAGGTTTACGAGGTCTTCTAGTTCGGTTTAGTTTGGAGGCTAGGCATGATGTCAAGTGGTTTGTGTCTGCGGGGGTTACCTTATATTTCTCCAACGGCATGTTTGATTGTAGACGGGGCCTGGGATTGCTCTACTTATAGGGCGGGAGCAGGCTGGATAGTCCGTGATCTTCATTCTTCTGAGGTTCTGGGAGGTGGTTGTCGGGCTTTTATGGCAAGTTCAACGTTGCAGTCTGAGATTCAAGCTTGTATATGGGGTTTGGAGTATGCTATTCGCAAAGGTTTTTTAAAAATCCGGGTTTATACAGATTGTGCTGCCCTCCTTACTCTTCTTCCTCCTTCTGGCTCAATGGAAATTTCTGCTTGGTGGCTTATCCAGGAATTGCGGGCTTGTGTTCGGTCTCTTTTGGTATGTCATGTTTAAAAGGTTCCTCGTATGTGGGTTACTCCTGCTCATTGGTTGGCTGGTTGTGCTCGGCGACGTCAGTTGTTGTATTTTTTATTTTAGTTTTTTTTTGGGTTGACATTTGTTGTTTTGGTTGTTTTTTTTATTTGATAGCTCTTTTGTCCAAAAAAAAAAAAATTGAAGAAGAAGAGGTAGCATTATATATCATCTAATTCATATCACCTATGAGCAAATTTGACAAATTTTCTTGTAGGGGGGTCATAGCATGTTCACTTTAGTCTCTTCCTTCAAAGAGAGACAAGTGTTCTCCTATTTTAAGTTTACCATGTCACATGAAAAGCCGACTCTTGTTATGCTAATAGGCCTAGATCACACCTTCATCCAGCCCCTTTTTGCTTGTAGTTCTAGACCAATGGTTTGAATTAAATAGTTTACGTGGTATTCTTACTCGTGACCTTTTTATCCCCATCCATCCAATCGTATCCCAAGAACTCATACCTGTGACCTTTTCATCTCCATCCTTCCAATCGTATCCCAAGTTCTTTGGACTTTGGAATACGACCAATACTTTTGTTAATTTTGTCATTTCAAGAAACATATTGTAAGGCAAATGGTTTCAGGATCAAGCAAAGATGATGACTTAAAGTTTTATTTGTTGTATTAGTATATTTCCAAACAATTTCTATAGTTTGTATTGCATTATTGTTGATTGAGCAAGAAAAAAAAAAAAAAAAAGGTACTAATTAGTTGAGAAAATTAGTACTCCGTAACCCAAATGGTTTCCTTCTTAATGACTTTCAAAAATTTCGAACAAATTCATTCCAATTAGACTCCGAAAATGAATATTAAAACACAAAATTCAGAAAATTAACCTTGAAATCATAACCAAAATCAGATTTCACTATGCAGAATAAGATTTTCAGGCAATTGCAAAACATAAATTGGGTTTGAATGAAACTTACAATGCAGCAAGTGTAGTAGTAGTCATAAGAATGTTAATATCAGGTCGTTCTGTCAAACAACGTCGAATCACCGGAATCGCCGCCATTCCTTCTCCTATCCATTCATTCAACAAATTAAAAAATAAAATCCAAATTCAATTACAATAACATTTGTTTAATTCTTTGAACAACAATGGAGGAGAGAATAAACCTAGAGAAACGGCGTGAAACCAGAGAAGTGGACCAGGAGGGCGGTTGAGAGAAGGGCGGCCGAGACGCTCCGGCCATCGAAGAGAATGTTCTAGACCTCGGAATTTGCGAAATCGGAGATGAAGGTGGATTAATGGAGTTAGAGAAAAGGTTACTGCTCTGTATAATTTATAGATGAACTTTCCCTTCTCTCTCATCATCATCATCGTCGCCGATTTCATCTCCGACAATTTTTTGAATTTTGAGTGTGGGAGTGAGGAAGATTAACGGTAATGAAATGTGGATTTCTGAATTTTGAGAGAATGTGTTCGGGCAAATGCAGTTTGTGCATTTGGAATTTGAAAAGTTTCATTTTTATAGGAACCTTTGAGAAAGAATGAGTGTGTGTTAGTGTGTACAGTGACTACAGTTCAATAGTCCACTACAATAAATTTCAATTCAAACGGAAAACCTAAAAATGGATCGGACAAAAATGGATCGGACAAAAACGGATTCCATTCTACAAAAAATGTAATTATTCGTGTAACATCAAAGATGCACCAGGTTAGGCTACTCTAAAGCATAACATATTTTATGGTAAAAAAAAAATTCATATCATGTAGGCACAACACGACACGACATGTTATTGTATGTGTCAAGCTTTTTATGTTAGGCATGTGCCGCCTTTACTTGATAAGATACACGCTAAAAAAAACTAAATTAATATAATTCAACATAGACATGCAGGCACAACATTGCCTAGTACGATGGCATGTGGGTTTGAGTTGTGCATGGGCCTCACCTTTTAAAAAATTTGGGGAAAGGTCTAATTAACCCCAAAGCATGTGGACTCGACGCACAACCATCTTTATAAAAAATGGTATGTATTTCGTGTAATATAACATGCTCATCAATCAGAAGATTAACTTCCCATAAATGCAATGCAAGTGTTCACCAATTAGATAGAGCTATAATCAATTGGAGTTAGAAAATTGGATGTATAATACTTGAGTTGAAACTATAACATTTTATCTTCCATCCAATCTATACCAAATCTTTTTAAACTAATTTTAGACCTTTTTTTTATTAAAATTATGTATCAAATCGTTCAAAATAGGTGAATTTATCCTCAAATATGCATGGAAGTTTTTATATTATGAAGTATTCAAATATGCCTTGAACAATTAGTTTTCTTCATTTTGTTTTTTCGGTTTTTCATATTGTTGTAATTTTTTAAAAGATTCAAAATAGAATTTCTACTTCAAATCCAAATCAATTAGATCTAATCCTAGCATAATTAGTCCATTCTCTAAATTTTAAAATTTCAAATCATAAATCTTCAGTATGGTCTAATTCGATACATTTTTGGACTAGTAAATAACCCTATTTGGGTCACTTGGATTTGGAAAAGAAAAAAGTTCTTACATGTTCACCCCTCCAAAAAAAAAGTGACCCTTTGCAATAGGAAAAAGCATATATTGGAGTAAAATTTTTACACCTAAAAAAAGTAATATGGAGTACAATATAATTTTAACCCTTGAAAAAAGTATATACACTATGTTCGGAGCCATAAAATATTAAAATGACATTACAATTTCTTTAAATAAATAGAAATTATAAATCCTAAGTTAAGTTAAAAAAAAAAAAAAAAATTATACACATTCATGTACTAAAAATCTGAGATTACTAGGAGCTTAGGAAGGTTATCAACTTAATATACATTTATACACAAGACATGTAGGCCTTCAATAAACTGTAATTTCATAACTTCAGTTTTTTCAGTGTTCCACTATACACTGGTGAAACAAGACTTACAGGAGTATTTCATGGCTGGTAGAGTTAAAATCCAGTACAATAGAAGGCAATGACAAAGCTCCTTGCAAACCCCAATTCAATGCCTAAAGTAATCGGAATTTTATCATATTGTAGAACAACAAAGACAGTTGAAAGAGGCTGATATCAACGATCTCCCATATTTACAGGCAGTGATCAAGGAAATTCTCTGATTACATCCTCTAGTCCCATTCCTTGTAGGCTTGCACCAAGAAAGGAGGTTTCTGTAGCACACAAGTTTTTTGTGAATACATGCGGAATTGAAAGACTCAGAAAGCTGGGATGATCCATTATCTTCAAGCCTGAGAGTTTTATAGGGTAAAATTATGACAGAATAAAATAAAGGAGCAGCAATATGAACTACTACCCTTTGGAGCAGGGAGAAGAATGTGTACAAGGAATCTGCTAGCTCATAATAATGTTAAATCTCAGATCAGGTGCTCTACTGCGCAATTTTGACTGGAACTAGAGAGTTGAAAGCCCCCTGATACAATTGATTGGGAGGATAAGATCAGGTTGACAGCACGAAAACTTGTACAGCTGAAAGTGATACCGAGGAAGTATTATGTCTAACTAAATTGCACCAGGAAATGAGTCATTTCTGTAACGATCAAACTCTCGTCGAGTCCCAAAAGGAGTATGGAACATCAAAAAAGAACAAAATATACACTTTTCTCATTTCTTCTTACACCCTTTCCTAACATTCTTGCCTTTTCTTTCTCTACCCGATCCAATCTTAATTCTACTTCTAACAATGGTTTTCAAGTCACGTGACAATTCCATGTGTGAATATCAATTTAGGATCAAAAGAGTAATAAATTAGGCAATCACAGGTTTGACAGGGGATAAGTGCTGAGCCTATCTAATTGAGTTATGTAAGCTACAAATTTAAACATGTCGAAATTGCTGAAGATGCAAGTTATAACAATAAAAATTGAGAATTATCCGTCTACCTTGATATGGTCTACATTTACTAGTTTTCATTCCACATAATAAAAATTGAGAATTATCCAATCCGAAATATAATTCGGTTTTCAATTTTCCAATCCGATCCGATCCGAATTTTTCTCTTGATCCAATCCGAATTAAAATTCGGTTATTTGGATCCGATCCGAAAATCCGAATAATAATACATTATTTTTTTAGCGCCTAATACAATTATAAAAATAAAGCTTTACTATAAATAAAAGTCTTCAAAATCATGATTAAAATACACAGTTCAACGTTAAGTCATTAATTAATTAATACAAAGTCTCTCTAATTTATTTTATGTAGTATTATGTATTTGAGCTAAACTTCAAAATATACAAAATATACAAGCTTAATTTTACAATTCGGTTTTTGGTTTGGATTGGATCCAATTAGGGTCAATCCGATCCAATCCGAAAATCCGAATTTCCAAAAAAATCTCAATCCGATCCGATCCGATTTAAAGTTCGGATCCGATCCGAATTGATAATTCGGTTTGGATTGGATTGGATTTCGGTTTTTATCCGAATTATGGACACCCCTATCTCTAATTACAAATAAGTAAAACATATAAAAATTTGATATTGTAAAAATATAAAAGACAAATATAATAAGAGCCCACGTGACTATAATTTACCCAAATAGTAAATCGTGAATTGTACTATTTTTCAAAGGAAAATTTGTCAAAACAACTATTTAAAGCACCATTTTTCGCAAAATAAAACAAATTAAAAGGTTTATTGTAAAAGAAAACCCGATTGTGAATTTTTTATTTTATTTTTGCTGAAGACAAACTAGTACTTTTAATAATACTCTATTAACCTCTAATTTATTCTAATTACCCTCTAACCCTCACTTAACCATTTAATTAAATTAATTTATAATTAATAAAAAAAAAAACTACATCTCCCTCTCTTAACAGCAACCTCCCTCCCCATGGTGCCGCCTAGAATCCCCAACCCCAGCGACCCCCTTCCCTTTCTTACAAACAACCCATGACCCGCCTATGTATCCTAGTACTTCTAATAATACTCAATTAACCTCTAATTTATTCTAATTACCCTCTAACCCTCACTTATCCATTTAATTAAATTAATTTATAATTAATAATAATAAAAAAAAAAAACCACCACCCCCTCTCTTTCCTCCTCTCTTAACAGCAACCTCCCTACCCCAAAGTGCCGCCTAACCCTCAATCCCCAACCCTCTTCCCTTTCTTACAAACGACCCATGCCCGCCTATGTATCCTAGGTAAGTGGGAAGAGGCGTAATTATGTAACCTTGGTAAGAGATAAGTCTAGAGGCCGGGTAAAACGGCAAAATTTTTTGTTTTTTTTTTAAAAAAAAAATACTACTGTTAGAGCTCTCGCAACGGAAATGTGGCTTCTACTAGATAATATGAAACCGATAGCTCACAAAGACAAATAATATTTTGGGATAGACAAATAACCATTATTAAGGAAATAATAAATATAAGAAAATAAACTTTCTTAATGCTAATAAACTTTTGACGTGAATAATGATTGAATTATAATACATGCATACTAAGAGCATCTCCTAAGGTGTTTTCAAGGACTTGCTTGCAAATTTGAAAAATAATATACAAGTGTTGCTTAACCATTGGAGCACTATTGAAATACTTGTTCTCTTGAGTACACTGCTTGGAAATTTTAAACATTTATAAATTAAATTATAAAAATCATTTTTTATCTTTTCTATAAAATAAATATTAAAATATTATTTTCATTATTATCAACTGACATATAAGTAGGTGATATTGACTATTTTTTTTAATTGACTATAGTTTACAAGATTATTTATTTTGAATAGTAGTTTACAAGATTATAGGTTTACACATTACATGTTTGTAATGTATGTTGTATGTTTCACTTTTCATTGATTTTTTTTTTTTTTTTTTTTTTTGTTAGATTTAAAATTTTTGACTACTTTATATAATAACAAACTTGACTTTGTCAACATAAGATTCTAAAATTGCTTCAAAAAAAAAAAAAAAAAAAAAAAAAAAAAAAAAAAAAAAAACCATAAGATTCTAAAATTTTAGCCAACGTACAATATTTGGTAACCATATTTAGCTTTGAATTATTAGCTAATGCATCTATAAATAAGTTTTTAAAACTTAAGAATACAATCAGTATATTGTTTCATAAAAACATAATCTTAAAATACTTTCATATTTACGATTAGTTCCCCGTAAATTTAGATGGATGATACGGATAATCCATTTAGACAATATTTTGGTTTGGGAAATTCATCAAACAGCCACCTCCGAAAATTCCTACCCTCAAACACATTACCACCTTGGCTATTATTATCCCAATACTACAATGCCTAATTTGCAAGACGTCATGTCAAGCTACTATCCTCAACCTCCATTTTCAAGTGAATCTAATGTGATTCATGATGCTACAAGAAGAGAAAGTGTAGGGGCCTCTAGCATGCACCAAGAATCATCACTCCAAAGGTCTCAAATGGAATCTAACACTCCTTAAAGTGATTATATACAAGAGGTAAATGCACAAGCTACTAGTAAGTCGTCAGATAAGCTTTCGTGGACCTAATACATGGATGAAGATTTATGTAATAGTTGGTTACA